CTTTCGAAATTGGTTTCTTTTCTAGTCTGTAACTTTTTATTGAGAAGTCTGATCGAAAAAGTACGAATTGTTTTGGATTCTACGCACCAAAATTAATAAGAAAAAGTGTTTTCTCGAGAAATTTTGGTGCAGTCGATTTTTGGTAAAAAAGGAAGGTTGTACATTGCCTTTTTTTGAGGCCCTCAAAAAAAATTGTCTCAGATCGACCCGGAAGTCGATTTTTTGTAAAAAAGTAAGGATTGTTTGAATTTGTTTTGAATTGAATCTCGCATAACTTTAAATAAATTGGCAAATAAGCAATTCTGTGCGTTTAACTTCTGTATTAAAATAAATCACTAATTATCACAATATTTAACAAAAAAAGTACTTTCGGCCTAACTTAGAACTCAAAAAAACCTTACTTGTAAAGCACAAAAGGTCTTCTAAAGTGTCTAAAAAATCATAGTACATTTTTAACGAAAAAAGTTTAACAATTATTTAAAAAATAATTCGCCGTTATCAGTTTCATTAACAAGGTAAACAGAGTCGTCCCCTTGGTCGACAAATTCCTCAGTCCCGCTAATCCCGCGGGATCCCGCTCCATTTATGTGCGGGATTAATCTCGCAAAAATGCTGCGGGATCCCGGTATTTCGGGATCCCGCAATCCCGGTATTGCATTCCCTAATGACAACGTTTAATAGCTTTAATTTATTTGGAAATTTTTCTATATAACATTATCGCATATTAAGAAACATAGTTATTCAGTTGTTTTCGTGGTTGTTTTGAGATTTCAATAAATAAATAAATAAATAAATATTACTGTAAATTACTAAATATAAAATGTACGTACTAAATTTTTGTCATTTGTCTTGGCCTTCAATTTTGCAGTTATAGCGATTCTGTTTTATGCATTTGATTCTGTATTTTATGAAGATTTGCTTATTTGTTTATTTATGTATTTGTTTAGCCAGATACCATACAGAATGCAAGTATCCCAATTACATGGCACTGGGATGCTGTACTTAATTAAGCTAAAACTTCATAGTAATTACGATCTTATATGACTAATTAATTGATTCAAAGAGCCGTGAAATATATCGATGTCTCTCTCACGGCACTTCTTATTTAAACCCAACATGCTCCTCGTTCTTTCATTTAACACATGGCACTTTGAGGTTAATTTGCTGAAGCAATTCTGGGGCATTTAGGTGATTATTCAGTATCTTATACTGTAACTATCAAATACTTTCAGGATCGTGAAGCCAAAGAAGTCGCTGTATGCAAATTTCGGAAAGAAATGTGCTACCTTCTTTCTCACGGATGCGTATAATTTAATACTTCTCTTAATTTTTTGGGGTTTTTGATACAAAGTGCTTTTAGAAAAATGGTACGATATTATAAACTTCCATTTTAAACTTCCTATACAGAGTGTTTCAGAAGGATTGCATAAGTAATTTCATATTAATCGAAGATGAAGATTTGGTCAAATGGACAATATTTTTGCCCCAATGAATGGACCCTAAATTCCATTCTTGATTTTTCAGCCTTGCAAGTAAGGAACTGTATATGCAGAGATAGCCTGTACATAATAATAATGATATTTATTTATTTCAATTAGCTACATTCTTTGTAGTTTGAAACACGTCAACTAATGTGTATATTCGTATTTACAATCACATATGCATAATTAAAAAGTTGACTTCACAACACGAATAGTAACAATTGCTCCTAAAAACTCGAATACGGTCCCATGTCTAAAATGAATTGAAAAATACGCTCTTATAAGTGATAAACTTTTAAACAACGTAGATACCCAAGGACAGTACACATTTCATTAGCAGAATGCGCGAAAATTGTAAAAAAATTCGTTAAGCCGCTTGTGAGCAAGAGGCGGAGTGCGCACTTTCAAATTTGTTTTTTCGATTTTAATAGCCCTTATGGACATTTCATGACTTAACGAGAATACAAACATGAAATAATTTTTAATTTATGATCGAATGATACCAATACCAAGTCTGTAAATGGTGTAGTTCCGAAGCCTTTGTGACTCAGACAGACAGATGGTCATCAAGAGCGCAAAAGTGCACTTTTTATTTTTGAAAGTGAAAGTGCACTAACTAAAAGTTTACATAAAATAGGCATCTTCTTTCTATTCTTGTTTGTAACACCTTGGAAAGAATCTGAAACTGGCTCAAATAAATTTAAACAATTTTTACTTTTATAGATTTTATAGATACACTCGTATGTACCTACTGCGATTATAAATGAAATTGTAATTTTATACTGCAGATTCTAGGGGTCATTTTAAATGCGAATTTATGGAATTTCCGTCTTCATCTATTTTTCGAACATGTATGTTTATTTCCACACATTTTTTCCAACCTATGATCTCTTCAGTATCCAAAGAATGGACTAATTGGGGATTCTCATTTTTCCGACGAGCAGAGCACGCAATCGTTGTAAAATCTTCTGGTAAGCTAACTATACCTACTCTTTTAACTTATAAATTCAGTTTGAACAGTTCAATTCCAATTTCACAGCTTCTACGTCCTCCTAATGCTCCAGGCCGGCTAACAACGTTATAAATTCTAAAACTGTAAAGCTTCTTTTGTAAAATAGTGCATTATTTTTTACAAGCTGGGACAAAGAAAAACTTGCTGTAGATCTAAGCTGCAGCTTTGCATTTTCCCCTTTTCTACGGGGGTATATTTCCGAAGCAATGAGCAAAGGCGTTTACCGCAACTTGAAAAGGGAGCACTAAGGAGTATGACTACAATTGAAGAGCAAAGCCTTACAAATAATAACGCAAAAAAATTGTATGAACACACGGAAAAGTAGTATTATTTGCACGACGGACTAAATGCTAATGTCCAGTTATCTACTTGACCCTGGCAGATTACAAAAATTTAGGAAAGAAAGTAGTTATTTTATTATGTTTTGAAAACCAAACACATTCCTTAAATTAAATCAAAATTTAGCTAATATTCTAACAAAGCATTTAAGGACACCCACGAACTTGACACAGCTGAAGCATCAAAAACAACTCGTAGTTTGGTTGTTTTTTTGGAAATACTCTACCGTTTTATTTGATACTTTCCTACAAAGCCTCATGTGCCCTAAACTCTCATATTCCCTCATAAACTTTACATATTCGGATTTCACATCTTGTTTTGATACTAACCTACGCTCTAATATCAAAAATCTTTTAATTGCAAAATCTTTTGAATTTCCTAATTTACTTACGTCCGCTTACTACAAACGTACTATCTTTGCCTACTTTGTGCCCGACAATTAATTACTATTCCAATATAGGTAGGTATATGAAAAGACAAAATGAGTTGAAGCACTTATAAATTCTACGTCAAAATTGAATATACTATCTTTTCCACACAAACGTCTGAACCTCACTCCGTCGTTCAAATCTCAAAACTAGCCATAAATCGCTATCCGTTAGTAACTTCCGTCGGGAGCCGACTTGCCACACGCCATCAACCAAATGTTGACTAAAATTCTTCTCCTTTTATTTGGAGTACCTAGGTAATGCCAAAGCTCCGATTTAACCAGTGTTCAATACTTAGTCTTGAGAGCAATTTTATTTTTCTTCCTTTCGTATTTTTACATCTATCAAATTTCAAATCTACTTGATCTACATTCTCATTATATATTCTCGACAGGCATCTTCAATTGTCTGCAATAAGTCATGTTATTTTAATAGGTAATAAAAAACGCACATGAACTGACAATTTTATTACAAGTTTAAATATAATTGAAAATTTTACTTTGTTTAAAAAACGTTATCTATAGTAATGCATTTTATATGTATTCAAAAATCGTTAACTTATTTCCGATAAAACCGGAAATATAATAAAAACATCTCCTACAATTCATCAAACTTCTTAATTGTGTAAATAATATTAATACAAAAGATATTATGAGCAGCAGTTTAACAAAATGAGGATCTATGAAATACCATGCAGTTTTTGCGCATGTGAGAATACAAAAATGGCGTGTCATAAAAAAGGTGTAATTACTCTTAAAACAATTTATTTTCTGGTAAGTACAAGTTAGATTAAAACATAACAATCTTTCTGACTCAAGTCTTTAGTATAGGCATAAAGTTACTATAGCTTCGCTTTTATTATGTCGACATCACAGGCCTAAGCATTCAGAATGAGACATTCTTATTAATTTAATTATTAAAAAGCAAAAACAAGACCGAAACGCAAATTAAATTCAAAAAAAGCCGCTTTACGTTTTAATTCACAAAAGCTGTTTTTTTTATTTATATTTGGAAAAGAATTTTATTTGGTCCAGATACAATGAAATCCAACTACTATAATAATGTTTTGGGACAAAGAAAGTTAAAGTCGGTTAATCGCTAATTTCGTTTATTACGAATTTTTATGTTATGAAATTTGAACAACAATTATTAAGTATGTATATTATGTTTATTGTGGTTAAGAAGTAGGTATAAGTATGATAAAATGGTTAAACGTTTAAATACGGAATGTCTTAATATCAGAAAGTTCAAAAATTTGTACTTATTATCAGTATCAGAAATTTCTTAACTACTTAGATATTGGATAAATGGCTACATCTCATTAACATACTTCCGGTGAGGAAAAATTCATGCAATAACACACATTTTTATTATAGCTTTTTTGATTATTATGTAGGTATTATTGAGTTTTTAATTCTTATACGCTAGATTCATAGCTGGAATTCATAGTAGCTGGGCTAAGGTATATTTTAATCAAGTTCCTATTTGACGTATTAGACCTGATGCCAGTGCTTAAAAGCATGTCAACTACACATATCTATTTTAAGTGCCCAAAAGTATTTCTCTTTTATTTTTTAAGATATGCAAGTTGCTTATTTTAACTTTCAAAAAAATAGTAGTGGTTACGCGATTGGGCACGAAAAATGGATCAATCCTTAATTATTACAAAGTTGCTATTGCACCGGTTGTTCCACCCCACATCACATTCTGTGATTTGTATTAAAATCTAGGTTATATGTGTTGTTCATTATTGGAATCTCTAATCACAACTACCTTCAGCCGATGCAATGACATTTCTATTTATTAATAATTACAGTATTAAGTATTAATGAGTGGTGTATTACAGAAGGCTTTTCAAAATATTTTTCGTTCTCGCTGTGGCACTTACCATTTCCGTGCGAAGAATATCTCTGGGGTTTACATGTGTGAGGATAAATTAAATAGTCCATATAAACAATGAAAAGAATTATAAACATTAATCATAAAGAACAAATTAGGTATTAACAAATTTAGAAATCGTAAAAAACGTTATTTTTAAATTGCTTTAAAATTATCTTATACTATTAAATATTCTTTATGAATAAAAGTTTATTATTAAATGGTTATCAACATATTCTAACAGTTTCAAAAATGTCTCAGATAGTACGCAACTCTCATAAGTTTTGTACCACCTACGTTGGATATATATTCTCTTTTAAAATATATACGCGATACATTATGTAAACGACTCTTATTTCAAAACCAACTGCTTGAACCGCCACCGAACTTTGTACTAAGTCCACCTATTCCTTTACCGAAAATGTTACCAACGCGACCAGCCACCATATTGCTAATATTTGCTACGTAGTTTCCATCTTCACTTAAACTCTCCATTATGTTACCTTTTGATTTACTTCTATCACTCTCTTCTTCTAATCCCTCGGAACCTCTGGAAATATACAAATAATACAATAATTTTACAATTTTACGTAAGCTAAAAAGGGTTGTTACAACCGGAGATGCGCGTGAAAATGCGGCGGCGTGCCAAGATTATCGCCTGACCAAAGCTGTGGCACACCAATATAATTATTGGGACTATCTAACATTGCTTCTGGTTATACTTGGGAACAACTTCGTTATTACTTTAGATTAAACAATATAATTTGCAAATGGTTTACACACCTACAATAAATTTCCATATTTTGTTTGAAAAGAAAATGATCTTTTAATAAAGTAGCTAAGTAGGTACATACCACAGATTGAAATAGGTAGTCTAAATCTGTGATAATATTCAACTTTTATCAAACAATTGCATTTCGACTCTCCGTCATCAAGATATTACGTATGAAGTTTTGACTCCACCAACAAAAAAACGCCTGGTCCAAACCTACCGCTTTCTGAGTAATTAGTTTCCCTTTCCTACACTTCATTTGAAGTTGGACTCACAACCAGTACCTACCAAACTACGAATTTTGTCAAATGCTTCTATTATAAAGGTTTTTTGGGGATTTTAGGAAAATCGCTACACAAGTAAGAACTTTACAATCTAATCTATACCTAATCCTTTCTCAATCTTTAGAGCAATATTTTGACGCAGACATACCAAGTCATGTAAGGATTTAGAAAAACCTATTATGTTGCATAATTATGGTACACATTATTTCTACCATTGGCAGGAAAGTCAATATTTCTACTCATATTTCGCTATAAATTAGACAGTTTGGTTTTCTAAATTAATTTGCAAAATCTTTCCCTTTTTACTCAACATTTGCTACATTAAAAAACTTGAGGTAGCCCTGTCCTGGTGATAAATGCTCTTACATACACACGATTTGACTCATATGAAGATTCATTTGCTTGTGCTCCCAGTCATTAGCAGCCATCGGTCAAACAAGATGGACTGCTAATGCTGAATTGACAAATGACACCTACATGGGGGCATACATAAGAAATACATTTACGCATCAATTGCTTTATATTTGTGGGCCTTTGGTGGTGTGCTGTGTAACAGTTTTGTGTAACGCGGTTATACCTACAGAACACCAACAGAATTAAATTCTGAAAGTTGTGCGGTCTTTATTTATACTGCAATTAGACCAAAAGAGTGTACTGGACGGGCATACTAACTAAACTATATTCGCTACATAGTGTACAACCGCGAAACATCTTGACCTGATGACTATGATAATGTTTAGTACAGAAATGTAAGAAAGATCACATTTATTTCAAAAACTAGAGTAGCCACGCACCCCTCTCGTTCCGCTTGTCCAATGGTAAGAGCACAAGTGGCTTCCTCAGTTTGCATTCTTTGCGAAATTGTCTGATAAGCTTTAGAATTAAGTTTGTCTTCCATTACGCCTTGTAGTTCGAAATCCGAATAAATTTTCTACAACAAATACATTATACATATTACATGAAACTTTTACAAGTAACTATACCTTGACAATAACGGCAAGGCACGTACATTGGTATGGATGTAACGAATGATCCAACCTTTCAGAAAGCCAATTACATAGCATATTAATTTGATTTGTGTACCATTGTTCAAAAAAATTTAATATCCACAACTCATCCGTAACTTTCCCTCTGATTTGGTCCATACAGTTTCGTGTAAAATTAACATAGCCTTGGCCCATATCCTTGCCCGAACCAGAAACATTCTGTAAGGATCTAGTTAAACAAATGCGTATGAGAAATACGTAGTCAGTTTTATACCGTAAAACTTAGAATTGATCCAATTAAGCTGCCTTCATCGTATCGCGATAATTTTGATAAAGTTGCTTCTAATACGGACATTAATTTACCAATCATTCCTTGATTCATACTTGCTAGTGTTTTATCAATTTGGTCATCTATTTTTGTGTGATATTGATGCTAAAATGATCCAAATATAAAATATACTTCTGTTGAAACAATAACAATTACAGCTTACCACATCAATACCATCAACAGCGCACAGTTTGAATGATTGGTTTTTGGCATCCAATATAACGTTAACCATGGCACACATTTCTGAAGGTATGATGTAATCCGTTGATATGAATGTAACTGATTTTTTCAGCCACTGTTGAAAGGCATTTTCCGTTCTTTGTATGCAAGATTCTATCATATCACAAGCCATTAATTTGAGTCTTTGTTCCAAATGCTGCCTAAATTCGGCATCTGGCCAATGGAGATCCCTTATAAACGATTGTAACGCATCCAACTTCCAAAATAAATCCTCCGATGTCGCACAACCGTTACTAAAAGTATAGTTAACTGACTCCAGTTTGTTGTGTTTTCAAAAAATTAATGTTTATTCTCAATTGAGATTGTTAGAGGTATACGGGGCAACTTAGTTCCACAGTCATTGAATATTAGTAGTGATGGCAAATGGGCTGAGAACATTTTATAACAACCTTACTTACCAAAGAAAGAAAGTTATATTTGTATATTAAAATGGGACAAAGAAAGACAAATTTTAAAAAACGCCCAATTTTGCTTTAGGTTTGATTGTGTTTGAAATATCTTATGTGATAGTATGAATGAGGAATATTTTCTACTTATGCCTGGAGACATATTCCTTACTCTAAAATCAATTAAAATTGAAGTTTTGTTACATTTAAACGGTGAAAGTAATGTAAATCAAGCAAATTTCACAGGACTACCAAGACACTGAAATATCGTGTATGAACAAAATATTTGTGTTGTCGGTCTTATTTTGAGCTTTATCAGAAAACAGCCAGAATACGGTTTTACAGTGCTTGGAAAAATCTACCAGACACCTCTAAAAAGCTTTATGCCGGTCACTAACAATTTGATTTAGATGCAATTTCCATGGATGAAGAGCAAGAAAACCATAAGGGTAAGAAGAAATGGGTTCACGATATTTTGAATAAGCGGAAAACCGAAAGAGAATTTGTAGACTTGTGTTTCTAATTTAAATACCTATACTTACAACATCCATTTGCACGTATTAGAATTAACACAATATGAACTGGAATTTAAGGTGGTGTACAAATCGACCGAATATTAATCAAAGCCTGCGGTGCGGTCTGGGTCCGCAAGTGACGTCACTACACGCGGCGAAAAAATTCGGTGATCGAGCGATCCTATATTATATAGCACCCTTTGGCATTGATGTAGGACTAGACTTAAAATCGGTTGATTTTTTTTATATGGGTCTCAGAACGTCCTATGTAGTACTGTACCACAAAGAGCCATACTGAACCATGTATGGTTTCCTGTCTTTTCTTTTCAACCCATGCATACATACTATAAACTCTTTAAGTAGTACATAATGAAACTATATCAAATAAAGACCAAAATAAATAATAAAATAAATAAAATACGACATAATTACGACTGATTTTAAAACCTGAGCAAAAAATAGTATAAATTGTACTAAACATACCCTTTAATCTCCCAACGTTCTTTTTCGAATCCTTTGTGAATAGACTGCGCAATTGATGATTCCATTAGATCCACATATCTAACGACTAAAGGTGCAAATGTGTCTCGCAGATGTTGATGAAACCGGCCGTTTTTTAAATTATCTGAAATTCAAATTGCAATATCATCTTACGCATATAATTTGGTTTACCATCAGCTCTTAAATAGTCATTCAAAATTTGAAACAAAGGAAACGAGTCCCATGTATCAGGTGGCTGTTCTGCTAATACTCTGTCCATATCCACGGCGAATAATGACCAGAAGATTTCAGCGTGTTCCACCAACAAGTCGCTGAACCATGCAAATGCCTGTATGAAAGTATATATAAGAGCTGGGAAATGTCATAGCCAAGTCTATGTTGTAAGTTAATTTGCCGGTATGAATTTCGTCTGATAGTATCCGCGAAGTTAAAAAATTAAGTAAGGATCTGACGAGAGCCTCAGAATACCAATTTTAAAGATCCAGGTACAACAATAACCATGCACAGAATTTTCAGGCGCTGACTGAAAGACAACACAAATACGTATAGCTGAAAATGCAATGGCATAGTCATACCATTCAAGCCAATAGAAAGATAATATAGAGTGGTCGCAGACTAGACACCAATTCAAGCAGAAGTGCGATTCCATACACTAAAATTTGTGTGGAATCGCACCTACGGAGGAAAGTGTAAATGTAGCAAAATACAAACACACATCAAACTAAATACATCTATGTGTTTCAGACAATTTTGTAAATGTGTCTTTCGTTTCTATAATTTGGTTATGTAGAGGTTCGTGTACATTGATGTGTTAATCAGTCGGCACCTGTTATTGTTATTTAAATTTGTCATCAACAGTTTTCTATGAACAGGAGGCAAATAGTACGCAAGAACGAGAGTTTTAAAGGCTAACAATGCTTCAATGTCTACGGTATAAGTATTTAAGAAAAGCATAGAAAGCTGCTGACTTAATGCATTTTTCGTACGAAATCTGAATTTTTACAGTCTGAATTTCGCGAAATTACGCACATTCACTTCAAGGACAGATATTACAGCTTATTTCTTGGATGTATATTTGTAATACATTTGTAAAGTCCAAGAGCTGGTTTTGAAATGTATTGTGTTTAGTTTTCAACAAATGGCACGTGAAAGTGTGGCTAGTATAGTTTCTTTTCAGTTAGACTGCGATTGTGTTCTCTAATGCCGACAATGTATGTGCAAATTGGATAATGGTCACATTCAAAAACACAAATTGAGTAGATACAAAGAGATAAACTTACCTTCTAATGGATTTCTGAAAAAGAATAATGACAAATTTAAGTCGCAAAATTATGCCTAAGATATATTGTAACATACACAGGGCTTAAATTATAATACCAAATTCTATGCTAAAAGTGCACGTGATTGTTGAAAAATTAAAGTCTGTAGTGAACAGTTTCAGAATATGATAGAGAGGACGATACCTAAGTGAAACAATAATAAAAGCTTTGAGGTAATACAAATGAAATAAACCATTAGATTTGAACGCGCGATTACAAAACTTTTGGACAAAAATATTCAAGGGGTTGCAAATTCTTGCCATTTTCTATTAAAATATTCTATATTCACATATTCTGTACGTAAATGATCTAATCGTACGAAAAATGCACACCAGTAGAAAAATTAGAAAGAAGAGACATGAAGATGTACGTGCCGTGGGGTCTGGTGGGGTGTAAGTGGCATGCGGTGGCATGCAATAGCGCAACACAGAGCTTTGCTGCTTGGCGTCACGACTCTGAGAACCCACATTTGTTTTCGCACATGCGTTTGCATCGGTAGGTTGGGGTGACGGTCGCCGTTCAGCCGTACGCAGCTGCTATACACATTACACACAACAGTGAAAAGTTTTATATAACATATATACGTATATCATTATGATAAGCAGTCACATTCATAATAAACATCACATTTTGATTGGGTATCTTTAGAAGAAACCAAAATTGTCTCCACTCGACAAAAGCTGCTTATTTAGATGTGAGCTGATAATTTTAATTAGGCAACTGGAGACTTTCAAAGAAGTGTTCAATTGTTTTAATTTGCGGTAAATCGGACACACTACTTAACACATTCACTGCAATTAACATTAGTGTAGCCTTTTTGTGAGTTTTCACTTGGAACACGATTTGTACTGTTACAAAGGACCTATTCATACCTATCACTGAGTAGTAAAAAGTGAGAATAGGCAGAACTGTAGAAGCTACCATTATCATTTGACACCCCTGTTAAAGAAGTGGCGATAGATGACAAAAATGGGGAAGGTCAACCATTTTCATTACTGCGTGAAATAAATATGGACACATAAGATTCACACATAGACCACTGTTTGTTACACTTGCAGTGAATGCCTTAACAAGGTAGTGAGGTGTAACAAAGTGTGAAGAAAGTTCATGGTAAATCACACTGCGTAAGGAAAAGGATATTTACACAGAGAAATGTTGCATTGTTTTCTAACGACTGCTGAGTCAGAAAAAATTGCATTCTCACCTCCGCGTAATGTTCCTCATTTTGCTGCAGAAGGTCAACGCAAAGTTCTGCAAGATGTATTAAATCGTCCAGTTTCTTATTGGGTGGTACAATTGTTTCTCCCCTTAAATCTTCTAAAAGTTGTAACGTAACATGGTTTGTAATATATAAACATTTTGAACAAAAGAGAATAGTAACAATAGCAAACCTTCTACTTTAGCTTCAGTGGACAGTCTGGAATAATTAACTAGCGCGGCAGTTTCTAAACTTTTTTTAATCATTCCACGAACTTCCTCAGGAGGCACAGGTGTGACGATATCTTTCATAAGTACCCTTTCTAATAACGAAAGAGTAGCCTTCAAGGCCCCTTCAGGCCGCCCAAATGGGAAACAATACCTAAAACACTATTTATTGTAACACGCCTATTTGATGATTTATTGGACGAATGTCAATTTAAAAAATGACGGTCAGCATTAATTTTTTCTTGTAGACATACCTGAAATTGGTTATCTGGTGCTCTAGAAGGACGCGAAGTTTCTCTTTTACGTCCTGAAACTTATCCTTTTCTTCGTGAGTTACACTCCCAACACCATCAGGCCTAAGTTCGTTACTTTTATAATCTACTAATTAGGAGTTTCTAAATCTAATGTTAATATGATACACACCTATTGCCATGAACGTGACTGGCGCAAAACGCGAAACTGTAATGAATTAATGTGGGGTCGATCATAATATTCTTTTCCGCGCGATCTAAAAGATCCGAAAGGTAACAAAGATGTCTATAGCAACCTCTAACGCCGTATCTCGCGCAATATTCGTCCAAGACAAAAACTTGCCCTGGACTGAACCAGCCCTATAAAATAACTTTGTTATTATCACAATGGTCCAATTAAACTTACCAAAGAACAATATGGATCATTTAAACGATACTCGAGCGTAAGATTTTGTAACAACTTAAATAATGAGGCGTGATCAAACTGACAAGGATCTGCAGAAATGAAGTCTTCCATTCCGTGTTTTCGAGCCCTATCAGCATCTAAAAATACTATTGGCTTGGTCTGCTTATCCATACATCATATACCTCCTTGAATTTTCGATATCGTTGAGTTCTTATCTTGGAGAGTTAGAGGAGGAGTTGGTTTATGGGATTGTCCTGTTGCGCGATACATGGCCATTACCCATATGTGGCACTCACTTTCATCATCACTAGCGTATAATATGCTATCTCCCTCTTTGACCGCGTTAAAAAAGTATCGCCCTCCTTCAAGATCTAAAAATAATTGATTTTAGTGGAGTAACAATATACAATTATTATAAAACAGAGCGCCACTTACGCTTACCCATCCCAACCATCAAGTTTGCTTAAAAATTCGTAAGGATTAAAATGCAAATGGCCAGACAAAATTAGGTTGCGAAGACTTACCACTCGATGCTTCAATGTAGTCTACAGTGTATCCATCAAGCTGCATCATTTCCGACGGTTCAGATTTCTTTTCCTTGTAACTACACATTGCAAATGTGTACTGTGAAACCTGCACTAATACGTAATAGCGTTTTTTCCATTTTTTCCAAACCGTTTTTCCTAAAGCATATAAATAACCGCAATGTTTCATATTTAAAGGTTTATCCATGCGACACGCTATTTTTATTCTAAGGTCTTGATCTGGAAGATTTTTCGTTACATTCATTTTGTGCCATTCTGGGGCCTAAATTAGTACATCGTTAATCGCACCGCTATTTTACTAGTAGATATTTAATACTTTTGAGGATAAAGGTGTTGGTTTCAGAACAACTTTTCCTAATTCCTTATCTTCCAAGGCTAACATGCCTGGATTTTCAGTGTATAATTTTACTTTAACAGCTGGTAGTGGATGTGTTGTGCAAAAATCGCCTTGCGTATCCCACATCGGTTTCGATGCTTCTGCTTGATCCGTTTGTAGTTTCTCACCCCCTTCAACTTCCATCGTACAGTAAACTATTCTATTAGGGGCTAGAGACTTTAAACCTTTTACTTCCATTACTACTACCTGAATATAATTGTTAGAAACAGTAATATGCCAAATCATAATACCTCTAATTGAAAAGTTAGGACTACATCTAGCTTCGTAAGTTGTGTATCACTGTCTGCGGAATCACCTTCCAGTTTTGCTAAAGATCCTTGGGATCTAAAATAAGTAACATAAGAGATCAAAAGATGCTTCATAGTATATGGTTTATTGTGGTTGTGCAACCTGTGGTTATAGCGTTTAAGCTTTTGCAAGCCATATTTAGAGTCCATAGATCCCTTTGAAACCGGTAACGATTCTAAATTCGCCATTAACAAGTTTATGGAGGATTTCAACTCTTCGACATACAAAGATTCCATCTCTTTTAATACAAATTTTGGCATTAATTTCCTATTCTAGAAACACTGACAAATAGAAATATGTCTGCAGTGTACCTACGCAGTAACCTTTTCCATTTCTGCAACTTTCTGCATTCTTCCATCTAGCTCTCTTCTTATTGCAGCTGCCTGCTCATCGGCAGAATCGAGCTACAACACTTGTATGTTAAATTGCACTTGCTTAAACTAGAGTAAGTACCATTAGGGCATTAAATAATAATTGGTGTTCGAACTTCTTTACTCCTAGGATTTGTTGAAACATATCATAGAGCTGTTCTTTTGATAAAATTAATTCAGAGTTTAAAGACTGTTGTTGCATACGGGACGGCCTCTTTGAATCTTCGTCTCCTAAGCCTGCGAATATTATTTTCTTACTATAATCTCATCTAGAAAACAGTTTACAACCTTTTAGGATGCAGTCAAATTTGGCCATCCACGAGGTGAACACTGTCTCTTTACTCAGTCCTTCCATTTCAGGCAGAGACCTAACGGACGAAAAATGGAATAGTCAAACAAATTTATAATTAAAAACAGAATGCTTCTAATACCTAACCCTTTTTTCTATGTTATTCCTGAACACCTCCCTAAAATCATATTGCGAACAGGCACCAGACTGTACCATTTTGATAACGCGCTCAGATTTTAGAAATACGTCATAATAACTTTGAACTGCGTTTTGAAAAGCTTCGTCTGCCATTATTTGCGTTTCACCCTTTAAAAAGCTCTGTAATGTGCACACGGTCAGAAGGAGTATTGATTACGGGACACAGTGGTACCTGAAATCTGTTGCCTATTGTTTCTAGTTGGTGTTTTGTGATCTTCGTCTGTCGCCTCGTCATATCCGTAGGTTGTTTTGCATTAAACGGATATGCTATGCATCTTGAAATAAATACGTAGAGCTGTATTCTCCTTTTCCTTTCTTCCTCTTCTCTTTCTTGTTTTTCTTGTAAATCGACTTCGGTCTTTTCAGAAGCTACTGATGGTGAGGGACTAGTAGGTCTTGGTAATGAGTTTGCGCGGGATGAACCAATACTATGACTAAGTGTTTCTGCTGAAACAGCACTTGATGGCGACAATGACCTTGACAGTCCTGCAGAGTTGTTCGGAACATCTAAGCTACCACTTCCCGTATCGGCGGGATGTGCATGATGATATGGTGAGCCTTCAGTCTGCTAAGTTATACAAGTATATATATATATATACCTTCCGAAAACTCGTAAAGGCTGCTAAATTAAAAGAATGAAAGCTGTATAGGTATATTTAAATAAGTAAATGAGTTCTCAGTTGATATTATTTTTCTGTATTTTTATTCTTGCTTTGCCATTGTATTGAAGGTTATTGGAAAATAAATGGTTTTATAATCCATTGGTATAAATGAACAAGTTATTTATATAACTGATACTTCAAGTAACTTGAAAATAGAGATGTAATTTGATTGAGGTAGAATGATGTACTGAAAATAAATGCAGCGGATTTTGAAGTGACATTTCCGTACAAATATATGTAGCTAATACTCTAATTACTAGGTCCGGCTGACTCTTTGTGTTTCACTGTGATATATTTAATTAATTTGATCTTCATTTATAACGCTACTATAACAATGACGACGAGTTTTCCGAACATCAAGTAGGTAACTAAAAAATTTCAATATCATTCTCAATAACGGAGATTAATCATAGATTTCTATTATTCCCATCCTGTGGAAAATGTGACACAATTTGTGAGATAAAATTTATTTGCACGCTTAAGAATGAAAAACGACAAGTCGGTCGTAGTTCATCTATGGCTAGACAATCCACATGTAAAAGGGATTCTATAAATGAAAATGCCTATACAAATTACAAAGTTACGCATTACGCATAATATTGTGAATAATATCTACCCTTCCAACTGGATGATGGGCCCCATGATGGGTGTGTGTTCCATGATGGGGCCCAGAGTGTGGAGGACCATGATCTTCATCACTGTCTTCTTCTGATGAAGATGGATCAATCATCTTGGTTCTTCCTCGCTAAGCTCTTCCAATCTAAAATTAAAAAAATGTATTAATACAAGAGTAATAATGGGCACCTTTACCTAATGTGCGGTATTAGATAGTAATTTTATTTAGGGTGCTGTTAAATTAAGGTATGTCTCGGTTAACAACGTATTATTACTTTTATGATGAATGAATATTTCGTATATTAGTCATTGGTAAACGACTGATGCGTAGGGAAGTTTTTATCAGTTGACTCATCGAGTTACTGTCTAGTGTAAATCAATATAGCGGAATTACAGTATTGATAGGGCAGTTGCCAGCGTTTATTTTTGTCTTTTCAATTTTCATGCAAAACAACTATAGACAGAATATGGTAAATGACATTCAATAATCACGAAATATAATTTCTGTGCATTACAAACTTGAAGCAAAACTTTCGCTCTGTGAAAATAACTATTAAAACGAGTACATTAAATTCGCTACGTACATTGTTTCATTTCAGCGAATACACACATTCCACTAATTAAATTAGAGTTACATTGGTAGATACTCGTAATTAGTAAAATATGGTAAAATGCGTAAGTGAAAAATGTAGCGGAGCTGTTTTGGTGAATGCAAAGTGCATTTATAGAAATCGATCGGACTTGAGCGAATTCATTCTCATTTTATATTGGCGATCACTAGCCTTGTGGCATAGTGTAAATACTATTCTTTACACTATGGTTGTGGTTAGCACCTAACCATAACGCAGAGAGGTTTAGGTCCTATATTGGTCTCATCCCTTCCCTACCAAAAAAAAGGAGATATGTTAAAAACAAGTAGAGTATCCAATGTAAAGAAGCTTTTAATGAACCTTGGACTCTTACTAGTTATCACCATCTAAGTTGAGTATTGTATCGTGAATTTAATTACGTATTTTAGTTTGTTTACACTTAACTAACAATAAACTTATAATCCTCGTAAAATGGATTCATTTTTAATAGTAATTACTACTTATCACTTACAATTTGTAACATAACACACGCGCATCGAAGTTGGGACTGAACTGAAATGCGCTACAATTTGCTAATATAGTAAACGATAATTGTTCTAGAATGTACATTTCAGAATGCTGTCGAATAAACACGTTATTTTTCACGGAAGGATTGAGCTGAGCACATCCGCCTTCGCCATTTATCTTCGAAATATGAGTGAAGATGCATCTTTCAAATACGGATCGCCCACTCTAACACTGCAAACTCGGTGCCATTATACTAATATTTTTGAGTTTTCGTTAATAGGGTTTTCACCGTTGAAGAAGTACCTGTGATCGGTTTATATCGTTTGTTTAGCCATGAAATTGAAAAAGTCGTGAATACGAAGAAGAAAATAGAGCCGCTAGTGATTGCTGAAAAAAAAGGGCAATGGCTGGTGAAACTATTTGAGAATTGATTAAGAGACACAATATGTTTATTGTGAAGAAAAACTGAAATTGAGTTACAAATCGAAGAATGGCCGTTATTGTTTACACATACCAACTTCCAGCTACGTCAACCATCCAATCCAATTCCAGTTCTAATAAATCGCTACAATGATCTGTTCACACGCGACGATAAATTGTAGCATCTCGATAGTTACGATAAATTGCTATTTGCTAGCATACATCGTAGCGTGTAAACCAGGCTTTAGATCAAAAAATCAATGAGCACCTACGGCGTCTCTCGCGATAAAACTATTCCACCTAATTTACAAGATGCAAATGAAACTGTTAACAGCATGTGTGAAAATATTAACATTGTAAATTATTATAATAAAAAATTTTTTCTTATAGAATGTGGCTTGTAAAATCCATAATTTCAAACAGTTCCAAGATTTGGCTACTAGTTCAAAAGTTACAGCCCTTTGAATTTTCTTTCGAAATTGGTTTTTAGTCTATAACTTTTGATTGAGAAGTCTGATCGAAAAAGTACGAATTGTTTTGGATTCTACGCACCAAAATTAATAAGAAAAATTGTTTTCCCGAGAAATTTTGGTGCAGTCGATTTTTGGTAAAAAAGGAAGGTTACTACGAACCTACGATAGACTTCCATCTAGGTTCTCATTTTCTTTAATAGATGCGACACTATAATTGAAAAGATCTTATATAAAATTACCGCAAAAGCAAGAGGTTGTGACGGAATAAAGATTGACGTTGTGTTACCCGCATTTATTGTCTCACATAGTGCATACAGTAAATTATTGCATTGAATTTTCAAAATTTCCTACCGTGTAGAAAGAAGTATGGGTCACGCATATTCCAAAAAAACCCATATTGACAATTAATCAAGATCTACAACTAATCACCCACTTTGTCTAAAGGTGTTGGAAAGCCAATTACGACAATTTTTAAATTCCTCCGTAAAGAAGGTATCGAAATTTATTTTTATTGGATTAAAGCTCACATTGGGATAAGCCACAACGAATCAGTGGACAAATTAGCGAAAGGAGCTATGGAGTCGAGAATCATTTTAAAGATCCCTCAGTCTAAACAGGATGAAACGGCATTCGTGAAGCAGCAAATTCTTCGAACGCAATGGGTAGCCGAGTGGAGGAGAGAGCGATGCGTTAGAAGATCCACGCAGTATAGCCGTATAATGCCCTCAATAACAATCAACCCGTGTTACTTTAATCACAAATCCAATAGATTATATCAATCAAGCATAGTCAGGCTAAAACAAGCGCACGGGATATTTCCAGCACATTTGCACAGAATAAATTTGATTCCCTCGGCACAGTGCACGTTTTGTAATCATGGCTCATGAGGTATCCGCAGAATACAAATTATATGAATATCATGACGGAAGGCTTACTCAAGCTGGGTTTGACACACTCTTTCGATGTACCAACAATTCTAAGTACCAACGATAAGGGAGATTATCACATTTAAGTCCGTTTTGTAGCTGCAAGTAAAGTACCGTTGTAACCCGTATTATGTCATCCTTATGTGCTACCAACCTTCCGTGGCCTACCTATGTTTTGTGTGAAGTCGCTTTGATCGTCCCCAACGCGTGAAACGTATAAATCCTTGTTTAGTCCTCTGGTTTCTCTGTAGGCTAAAATGGGCAAGATCCCGAAAGCCTTAAAAAAACCTCAGAGCTCCTTTTCTAAATCCATAGCACTTATTAGTTGTTACTTACAAGTCTAATTTTTTTGTTTTAACAAGAGGTGCGGTCGATTTTTTATATTTTCAGTTTTGAAAAAGTTGGGGTTTGTGTGTAACAAAATGGTTATAAGAAATATTTAAACATTCATTGCTCATCGAGAAAGATAAAATTGCCTGTTTTCCGCGCTACATCTAACTTTAGAGCCTCGTAAGAAAAATGCCTGACCATATGTCATAAAATTGTGGTAGATTTACAACCAAATCTTAATTTTTTCTGCTGCTTGAGTTGATTTTGTCAAACATTGTAATTTTCTAAATGAAATTATTCAACTATTATAATTGGTGTCTATATAACTGCTTTATGATGCCTTCATAGTTCACATTAGCATTGAATAATTCAGATTTATTATTCAATGACATTAGTGAAAAATACAACAACTAAAGAGTTTTCTTGAAGAAAATTGTTTCGATGAAATTGTTACACTGTTGCATTTAACAGAAGTTAAAAACTTGCTATTACATTTTTTGGGAGCTGCAACTTGAAGTTGACCAAGACTTTCATTGTCATTTCTTGCATCGCTTACCTAAGAAACATAAATGACGCCTACGAACCTTTTTGTACATAAATTCGCCGAGCGTCGAGTTGTACCAAGCAGTTGCGAACTGAAAGCATACTTTTTGCAGTTTAGATGAAATAGGTATATCGTTTTCTGAGTAGCAGTCGTTAACTGGCGGATATTTCGTGCTTATACATTATTATGTCAAGGGAGAAATTTAAATTCATGTTGAGTTTCTATTATTTATACATTTTATCGCATGCTTTGATGAAACTACTATTAGGAATCAATTTAAACCAAGTATTGATCGGTGTAAATTTGCTATGCGTTTTTAATTCATACGAAAAAAACAAGCAAAGGCATTCTACTAGTAGACTGAGCTCCATCCCTCCTAGGGTTTAAATGTATAATCATTAATCAACTATCGAGTATTACAGTTTATTACTAAACTATCTTGAAATGCAGTGATTTTTGTGCTCAGTGACTTAACTGCTGTACCCCGCAGCGCAGAAATATCTCATGAAAGCAAAGAGTAAAAAATCTCTATACATGACCAAAATATACTGAGAATGAAATGAAAATATAGAGATATGCATTTGTAGGTATATTACATTAGGGAAAAAACTAGAGAAAGAAGCCACGTCGTGTGACTGGTTCATTTTAATACAACTATATCTAAAACTAATACGAATCTTAGAACCAATTTTAAGTTTATCGTCTAATTTATAACATAATCGGAAACCAAAAATCCTACACAACGTAAGAGTAGCATAAAACATATTTTGTTTTTCATCACCGCATCTTTTAATCTGTAGAAAGATATGTATCTATTGGGCCGACGGGTCTTTATGCATAGATTTCGAGGGAATGTGTGAGCCTGGTTAGAAAACACTAGCAATTTACACTTTCAATTTGAAATATGACCTTTTCGCGAATAGCTCTGGTTTAAAACGTGGCAAATAGAAATACGCACTGTGTCTGGGAAAGAGTATTTCTACGGCAGAGAGGTACTGCATGCGGTAAAAGTCCGGCCACACTTCGTGGTTGTAGCCTGTGTAGAAGAGGACACTTTACCGGATTTGACTTTATTACGATTTTATATTTCTCGATTTGGAGTTTTATGAGTGGTGGGTATTGTAGTGCAACTTCTGTCAACTCAAGGCAAACTAGGAGATAGTCTTGTCCCAAACCCGCCAGTGGTTGGATCGTGGTTGGAATAGACCGTAATTGTTCCATGGATGTATTTTTTGAAACTCTGACAGGTGATCCCTTCGCATTGATAGGTGGTTGATTGGTTCATGAATTAGATAGTTAGATAGTTCGGAACTGAAACTCCTTAAGTATGGTAATCACTTGGTTCTTTTCTTTGA